CTGTACGGGACTCGAACCACTGACCTCTGCGATACTAGTGCAGCGCTCTACCAATTGAGCTAACAAGCCAACTGGGAGCAGGCCGTGAAGTTGACTCGTAATAAACCTGTGAGTGATAAATGAGATACAATGAAATATATGAAGTTCATATATTTTGTAGTGCGGTATTAGATACATATGATGCACGATCCTCGCAGTAGATAGCGCTATTAAAGCAATAGCGAAAATCAGACCTGAAAAAAATCAGGCCTGTACGGGATTCGAACCACTGACCTCTATGATACTAGTGCAGCGCTCTACCAATTGAGTTTTCATGGGTTTATTGGCTCTACCAATTGAACTTTCACGGATTTGTTACGAATCAACTTCACGGCCTGCTCCCAGTTGGCTTGTTAGCTCAATTGGTAGAGCGCTGCACTAGTATCGCAGAGTTCAGTGGTTCGAATTCCGTACAGGCCTTATTTTTTTCAGGTCTGATTTTCGCTATTGCTTAACTAGCGCTATCTACTGCGAGGATCGTGCATCATATGTATTATAAATTAGACAGATAGATCGTTTATTAAATAATACTTTTGCAGTCGTAAAACTGAACTGCGTGTTTTACAGATAACATTGGTTAACATATAGAGCTAAATACAATCATACAAATGTAAAAGCCTAAGATGATAAATATAGAATATGTGATTATCTAAAATTAAAGTAGACTTTCTTTGAAGGTTTAGGAGCCATTGTGCACACCCTGGGACATAGCATAAAAGAAAGAGCGTCGAAAACGTTCCGTGTGAGAACGTGGCAAATTAGATATCTCTTGACGCCTTGAATTATAGCTAGATTTTTTCCTTGATGGCAGAGGATGGTACAACTTATGTTCGGGATTGTTAGCGATGGAATCGAAGAAATGACAACAGAGTTCTATGCGTCTATCATACAGAGTTGGCAGGCCTAGACTGTCAAGGCATTCCCAATATGACATTTCAGGTGAGATTATGGAAAGCACATGTTTCTAAATTCTTTCTATATCCTCATTAAGATAGGCGGGGAGTGCATGATGGAACACTGGACCGCAGTATTCTAGTATAGGTCTAGTTGTTGTACAATAAGAGTTCCTAATGTCAGTAAGGGGGACACGGGCCCTTTTCAAGAGAACAATAAAAGACAGGCGCTTATTTGCTTTCTTAATGCAGTGTGCAACATGATTGTTCCATTTCAAGTCACTGGATATCGTAACGCCTAATATCTTCGCGCGCCCCGTGACAGGAAGCTCGTGACCATCTACCTCGAGAGGGGAGAAGTTATGAGGGCTCTTCTTGAAGTCAATAATCATCTCCTTGTATTAATTATCTGCTAAAGAAAGGTAAAATTGAAGCGTATCCATCGAGAATATCGAAATAATCAGGAACACCTACAAGAAGCCAGCCCATCGCAGTGCTTAAACGGAGGACTGAAACAAATATTGCATTGACAAATTCGACTGCAAACTATGGTTTTTATACATGTGCGAATGCTCTGCACCTTAAACATAGTAAGGCAACGATACTCTGAAAGTTGATTTCAAAGGTGAATTAACTAACCAACGGCAATAAGAAAATCATCTTGATCTTCTTTGTTGTGGAAGGCTGCTATCTGCTAAGAGTCGGACCCTAAATAATGCTGCGAGTCGCCTGAGACGTGAGATCCTTGTTTAAAGCACAAAGGTTTCTGGGATCACCACGTAGCTAACATCGCATAAAATTCCTGGAAGATAGTCTACGGCAAAGGGTTGTTTTAAGTCCGATAAAACTGTTTTGGGGAGAAATCACTTTTTCGCCATAGAGGAATGTGGATGAATTTTTTCGATGTTGATGCGTACTCAGCTGCTGGACCGTTCATGATCGCCGAATGGATCATGGCAGAAAGTGTGTATGGCCAACACAATAGAAACCTTCTCGACTTTCCCGACAGCCAATCTGGGATCTCTTCGATTTCAAGGTTTCATTTGTCGGAAATCTGGGAAGGTCGGAAAACAGTAAAATTGCCGATCGTTTACGATTTTCTTGACTTACGAAAACCAGGCTTTACAACTCAAAGCCCGATAGTTATTAGGTTATCTAGTCAGCAGCGAGATAAGTAAAGTTACTGTATGCCGAGGTCAATGATACGACCTCAAAGCTCCAGTGCGACATTTCATAAACTGCTTAACGAAAGCTAAACATTTGAATAACAAAAGACACGCATGTAGCCATTTTAATAAAATAAACGAACAGAGACTGTATGGAAACCGACGGTTAACTGATACGAATGAAACAGATATTGGCACGGATTCGATTGCAAACTATCTCTAATTTGTTTTCATGCGGTGTAAACCAGTGTTTGAATTCTGAAAATTGGACGCTTTTACGGCACAAAACAGCAATACACTGAAAATTGATTGTAAATGCAAATTAACTCACCTAAGGCAAATAAATTGTTAAAGAAAATCATCGTGATCCTGTTTGATGTTCAGAGGAACTCCTCTCAGACTTTTTTGTAATGCAATAACACTTTCAGTGTACTCTCTCGTCAATTAGTTGACGAGACGAAATCATGACTACCCTCTTCCACATTCTACAACACAGAGACAGACAAACGAGACGGCGAATCTGCTTCGGCATCTTTTACCAGGAAACGAATAACTTATGAGGGGTCAAGGAAGCTTCCCGGGCGGAAGAGAGTGTAAAAAAAATCCAATTAACTATTAATAGAACAGATGAAGTCGAACCCCCCAAGGTTGTCTTGGGGGGTGGTTAAAGCAATGTAAACTTACAGCTTTTCGTTATGGAAAAGAACTTATTAAGGAAAACAACCACAGAAACTGTAAGTCTGTTCAAAATTGCTGACTTTTATTCCTTTTTTGCCTAGTTGGGGTATCTCAAAGAAACTTCATTTGTTTCAAGCTCAACTCTGCGCAAAAGTCTGCGGACTAGAATCCTCAATTGTTTTTTAAGTTTCATGGCCCGTTATGACTAATTGTGAAGTTTAGGATAAAAGAGCATGGTCGAGCAGGATTTTGGAAAACGTTTGGCAAAACAAATACAAGAGTTCGACAGTTTTAAATTCAAAAATTGTTTTCAATTGTTTTAAATGAAATGACCTCTTGAACTGCTATTAGTGAGAAAGAGATTTCAATATGATACCTAGACACTAGATTTGATAGAGGGAACGAGAAATGTTTCTATCGTCATCTAAGTGATGGTTGTTTTAACTAAAAATCTGTGAGTTTCTCCAGTAGTTCTATTATGGGACTTGTCAGGGAAAACGTGGTGGAGAGTTTCTTCTTTACCACTGACTTTCTGATATAATATCTGCAACATTTATGAGACGACAAAAAATATTGATGGCAATGATTCAACAGAAATTTCAAGGTTCACCTGTCTAATTTGTCCTTTCATCACTTCTGCCCCTCATCATTTACTGTACGACAGTAGTTTAAATGTTCATCATGTATGCTTGTTGGCGTTACAGAACAAATCTGCTTGAACTAATTTTTTTTGTTTTTGTTTTTGTTTTGTTCTGTTTTTTTTTTTAGTTTTAATTTTCATCTACTCATTTTAAGATTGTTCTTTTAACCAATGAAAATTAAGTAAGTTTTGATTTCTCCCACTCTGATGGGTACCCTCTGATAAACCTTTCAATAATTCCACTCCCCTCGTCTGCAAACCTTTGAAATTAATGAACCTTCCAGGGTATCTTGAAACACTTACTATAAGATATAAAATATTACAACTGCAAGAACAATTGCGGGAAAAATGGCATAAAAGAGTCGTTCGCCATTCATTCTCAATACTAAAAAGAAAACCTTGTCAACAAAGATGGCCAAACAAAACTTGCTAGATCAGAAATAAACACGAAGGCGCGTTACATAAAGAATCCTTCCCTGGGAAGACCTAGGCTCATTTTTCACTCACCGTTAACGTGTGCGGGTCAAATTCAAATGCTGGTAGACGAACAAAAAGAGCTAATGGGATATCTATTGTCTACTTCCACCAGCATGGTGGCATGAGGTAACGTGCGAACCACCTACTTCGATCTCAAATTTACCGCCACAAATAAAGACAGTTTCCATTGGAGAAAGGAAATACAAATCTCAAAAATTCTTGTATTGTGATGAAGACATAAAACAATTTTGAGGAATGCGCCCGCTGNATCTTCTCGATTATAAACTAATAGGCTGGATAGTTTTTAATATTGTTCCTGATCATCAATAAAACAAGATGACTAGCACACAGTAGTACTGAAATGTTAATTTTCAAGTTCCGGGTTAATGGCCAAACTTTGTTATGGAGGTCTCATTTTCACAACAAAGGTTGCACCGGTAACATGAGGATTTTAGGAACTGAAAAAAACCTCCGCATCCTCTCCCATAGTGGCCTGAAAAATTCAGTCATGAATTTTTTTACGTAACAAAGTAAAATTGAGTTCTGAGATTTTTAGGTTAATTGTCTTTTCCAAGTCAAGTTTATTTTGGTCAGCTACTGAGTGTATCAATCAGCGCAACCTACCTCGTATAAATCTGATTGGTTTCTAGTGTGATCTATTGATGCTGAGCCTAGTTTACATTTGCACTTGAGCTTTGCACTAGTGATACATGAAAAAGGCACCTAGCTGTTTTCAACCAGTCAAGAGTGTAATTTTTCATGTATATCAGTATTGCGATGAGTTAACCAAGACCAAACAAGTAACTGAGAGGAGTTGTAGTTTACCAAACAGAAATCTTGGATTATGACATAGTGCAGTTTGCAATTCGTGTAAGCCACGCAAAAATATTAGTTGATCCAATACCAAATTCTCAGATCAAACATAATAATTGTTTGGCTGACAGTAATGAAAATTACTAATGAGATCATGGGAGTGAAAAGGTTAAGGAAGTTTTGTCTGTGAATTTGAAATCTTGAGCTCATATAAATCGAATTTAAACAGAATTACCTAAAACACCGTCATATGAGCCCCTCAAATGTACAAGCAATTTTTGAAAGACCTAGCGAGATACTTAATGTCCTTAAGTGAAATACTCACTGTTTGTTCTTGGGCTTCGATAATATTCATGAGCCAAAAAATGTTTAGAACATTGTCTTCTACAGAAAAGCAGTTGGCCTGAGATAACAAGAAACTAAATCTCATAAAGTTGTCATAAATTCAGTTCAGTCACTAGCCATTGTTCATTGTAAGAATGTAAGGATGAGTTACAAAGTTAACCCTGCATCAAAGTTAACAATGAGTGACTAGCACCTGATTTCTCCTTACGATGTCATCCCTAAGTCATATATTACAGTCACGAGAATGTAGGAAATGATCACTAACTAAAGAAGCTCTTGACTGTTTAACAAATTCTCCTTGTCATGAGCTTAGGAAACGTGTAAAGAAACAAAAATCCTAATTAACGACGCTGCCCTTAACATCCATATTCATATTCTCCATTTCTCTATACATCTACTGGGATACTGGCAAGGAGGACTTGTTTGACAATCAAGAAGTCCTTTTGATAACGATAATTTCTTTCGTTCTCATCGCCTAAATGTTCAATTTAGGGGAAGTAGTTTCAAGAGAAATGAGATGTTAGTCACCCTTAGGAGTTAATAGTATTCAAACCTAACCTGATGCACAGCACACATCAGTTCAAACAGAAGCGAAGTAACATTTTCCAGAACTTCTCTCAATAGTTTATCAGTCTGAGAAGAAACAGAAATTACATATGTAAGTGATAACAGCAGATGTCTCATTACACTTTTTAGTACCAAGGCATCCTCACGAGAATGACTTGGCGAGAAATTATCTCGAGAATTGGATTCCTTTAAGTCCCATGCAAAGGTGAGCAGACAATGATACTTAAGTATCCTGGCGCTGATGTGGAGGTCCTGCCTTCTAATGAGAACCCAGGAGGAGTCCACATACAAAAAATCACCATGAAGTGAACCCGGAGGATATAAATGGAGGACTACACAAAAGGTCCCTGGGTTTTTGATAAAGAGCATCTGCAACACATTATGTTTTATCTTTTTTCGTTAACAATTCATCACCCAAAATTTCAGGAGTCACTATAGGGTGGGGCCTGAGCCCGAGTTGGTTCGGCCATGCGCAGTTTAGTAGACTTACGACTCGTTAGTTGTGTCCCTGCTTATTTTGTTTGTGATACAACTAGCACGGGCAGTAGCAACAGTGCACCCCTGGTTGCTGTGATGTGGTTAAAGGATGAAGAACAATGCATTTGAGAAGATCCTTGATAGCTTGTTCTCTTTAACAAGAAAGCACTTCAACTGAGCCAGTGTCTGGAAAATTAACAGAGTGAATTGTGTAAAAATAATATTTTTACTAGCCTGCTTGCAGGCAGTAGTCTATTTTTTCAAGTGCGAGATTCAGCTCGGCGATTATTCAGTCCAGGTTCAAGCCCTGCATGGCCAGGAACATAATTGTGTTGCTCTTAGGCAAGACACTTTACTCTCGTTGCTTCAAGCTACGGAAACTGGAGTTAAGCGCCTGCCTGAAGGGCCCTTCGAATCTTCCAGCAATGTGATAAAGGTTGTTGTAAAGTAGTCACTTACAATAATTAAGATGCCTCAGCATCACAAACTTACTTGTGTGCTTTTATGACCATCAATCGTGTGGATAGAATGTCTGTCTCACGAAACAGACATACAAGTGTCTGCAACAACACCACAACAAAGCTGCAAATGATTAAAAGAGAAATTTCAACCAAACCTGAAAGTACAAAGTTCCAGAGGGGGATTAGCAGGATTTCAGAAAATGGAAAGAGATTACCGCACAAAATTTACGTCCAGTTGGGAGCAAATAGTTGTGCCAGGATAAGTACTATTTTAAATGACCATATTATTTTTTTCAAAGAAAGTATTTGTAAGTATGACTGACAGCAAGATTTATAAAACAGCTGCTGAGGGCCCGAAATAATTTCCAGAGAAATAAAACTCACTTTGAACTCTTTTACATCTTATGGTCTCATTCGCCGTCTTCTTCGTTTTCTCGCCGTCTCAACTATACAGACTACAGTAGACACCCCGTATCCCCCCCCTTAAGTTTGAAAAAGAGGTCCACTGGGCCCTCTTTGACCAATTTCTTAGAATAAAAACCATCAGTGCAAAGCACATTTAATTTGCCAACAAAAAAAAATTCAACCGTTAATAGAACTGAGTTACGGGAGAGCAAATATATTCTGTTCCGCACGACCCAACTCAGCAATAAGCATTTTATCAACATAACCGTCGCTCTATTTCTGTCTTCAGGGTTCGTACACTTTTTCAGGCCAAAGATTCAAGGACTTTTCAAGGACTTTCCGGTACCCTACTTAGAAATTTCAAAGACTTTTTGTAATGACGATTTTACCTCAAAACCAAGAGAAATGTTTCCGTCAACATCTATGTTTTGGGTTTACCGATGGAGCAAAACAAAAGCAGATATTTTTCGATGTTGTGCAATAAAAAATCAAGGACTCTCAAGGACCCAAAAAAAATTCAAGTACTTTCAAGGCATTCAAATCGGCCTCCTGAAATTCAAGGGTTTTGAAGGGTTTTGAAGACACGTACGAGCCCTGTATCTTTCTAGTTTTAGTGACAGCTCGCTTTCCCAACCCCTGCTCGCATAATCTCATGCAGCCCTCATAGGGATATTTCTCATTTGCCGCAACCAGTTTCCCCAGGCTTACTGGACTCAATATGCACTACCCTCATATCCCTACACTGCACCTTTCAAAAGTTTTAAGTCAAACTATAAGTAGCATCTTTTGTACTCTTCGCAAGCTTCCTTTGTCTAGTTCATCACCTTATAGTAACATTGACAAACGAGAGCCAGCAATTTTGAAGTCTAGCGCCTCTGCTATAATTGTCACGTGCGAGGTGATTATAGCGAGATAAACCACAATCCCTGACTAATCAGAGCGCAAAAATCTCTTTCATCATCTGAGTAATTATTCGTATTTTCAAAATGTTGCACAGAGCAACATGGGTGATATGAAAATAACACTTACTCAAGCTCGTCCTCTCTATTGCTTCCTTTCTTTCGCGATGATTGGCTGCGGGATTGAGTTATGTACTGCAGCTGTAGTTGACCCACCATGAACACAAAGAGATCTGGTGACTTAAGTTGAACTGCAATCAATATTTGAGGCCAAGGATCCAGATAGGAAACCATAAAACAAGTTGCGCCAAGGGGGGCACTATGGTGCAAAAACCAATCAGAGAAGAGGATTATGTTCCACTGTCACCATATTGGATGCTATTCCAGCCCTATAATGGGTTAGTTTGCACCATGTGCTACAAAATACTCTTCTCTAATGGTCGGGCAGCACAGTGCCTCCTTATACTGTCAACTGAAAGCAAAGTCATAATTGAAAACATTGGCCTGTCATTGAGACTACCTTCAATGTCAACTGCATTGTTTACAGTCTGGTGCCTAAACATTCAAGGAAGTGCGATTGCAATGAACAATTTGGGAAGCATATTAGTGAGTATTCCCTAAATGGTACACGTGCTTCAATGCCTTTTATGAGTAACATTTTCCTTTCTTTTCGATTTATCGACAGCTCAGATCAAGAAAATCTACTGCTACTGCTCGTTATTCGATAAATTTGCACAGCGATGCGACATGTTTACGTGTAGTATTATAGCTTTTTTGACTGACGTGTACATTTTCCATTGTCGATTTATTCCTTTTTTTCAAGCCGAAAAGTTCTTTGTCTTACACAACAATGTAACACATAGGGAACTTATAGCTCTGAACAACAAAGTCGTGCATTTGTTTTTGTCCGTGCAAGCAGAATAAAAAATCGTACGTGCATGTCTGACTACCGTGCATCTGAGCATATGAAATGTGTCTGTGTTGTTAACTTACATCTGAGTAGTAGTGTACCGTACCTTCGAAAAGTATTTTTTTAAGTTAAAACTCTTCTCTGCGGCCGTAAAAAGCTCCTGGATGACAATAAATGTCCTCTCCATGATATGCGATTGAAGGATTTCTGTCTTCAGCTGATTAAAAAAGTGCAATAGCTGTGAACTGAAAAAGAATATGAGAATAACATAAAGGACTCGAATCTAACTAATTTTCAGTAGCCATAAGCCCTAAATTTATAATGTTTTTTTTTCTGCTGTGGGCTGTTTGCTCCACATAAGCCGAGTTGTCTTAGAACTGGACAATGACCTGAGGTTAGGCAATACAGCTGCAAATTGTTTAAGTAATAAAAATGCACCTGTTTTAAATATTAGAAAATTGTTTCCTGAGGAGATTTTTTACATATACTTAAATGAAAAAAAGAGCAATTGTACATGAAAAAAAAAGACAGAACTCAAACGAGAAATACATGTAAATAGATCAATCAGCATCAATTGCATAAAAGGAAAATCAACAATCAACTAGTGGTTTGACCAAGTTGCATTTATTTGACAGACCTTCTGTACCCAACTTTTGAATTTCAGCGTGTTATTAAATAAATGTATGTAATACTTACTTGTCATCTTTGTTTGATCCAGTGGGTGAAGTTGGTGTGGAACTCCTTCGACCGTGACAGAGTGTAGATTACTGAAGAGAGAGGCAATAAAAGTTATAATCAATTAACCCTAAAAATTATTTACATTACAAGTGTACAACAAAGGTATCATGTGCAAGAGATTTCTTTCTGTGGACCTAAGTTTTGACAAGATTCACATGTCCTGTCTGCTCATCACTTGAAGCTAGTAAAAGCAGTGCTGGTTAAGCCAACCAAAACACCTGACTAGTGTAACACCTTTACAAGGCTATTTTTTAATTACCCCATTTTATCAAAATCCCTAGTTGAAAATCCTTCAATTACTGAGACTCTTGAAGAAAATTCAGGGCTCAACATCAACGGTAGCTAACTAGCCACAGACTAGTAGAAATTCAGTTTTGGCTAGTGGTGTTTGATTTCCACTCGCCAGTTTGGCTACGAAAGAAACTGAAACAGTTGTAACATCTAAGTTGTCACTTGGGTAATAAGTTGAAAAGTTAATGTTGATCCCTGAAATAATTATGTTCAGCAGAAATTTGTTTCGCAGTTTTAAGAAGAATGGAAAACAAACTATTACAAAAGCAGCTTTACATGTGTGAATCAAGTTCATTCTCAAAATGCGCAGAAAGGTTAATGCACTGTAATGTTTCTAATGCCAACAGTGTACACATAGGAAATATAATCTGATTAGTTCCCAGTCTTGCACATAATCTGACAAAACAACATGGTTCCACAATAACCTGGTGGCCGTTATCTTTATAGCTCTAAATTTCAAAATTATTGTAAGTCCCTGAGACAAGAGGGTCAGTTTATTATGACAATATAGTTACACAATGTACAGAGTGTAGCTCTTTCATGCAAAGAAGCCCAAACTACTATGATCTGAGCTGGTTGCTCAGTCATAACGGCATTTTCTGTGCTTAAGCCTGTTTTCCATATGTACGTGTACATGTAGCCTGGAAAAGCCCTTATCATTCACAGTTTCACTGTTTCCTAACTGTCCCAAAGTTTTGAGAGGTTTTAGAAACTGGAAGCTCCAACACAAAAAAGTCATCCCACATTTCTGTGATGATTAACAATCACTTGCTATATTTAGAAACTTCAATTTTCATTGTTAAAGAATTTAACAGTAATTTTGGCACACTACTAGTCCTTCAGTTGCTTAGCAAATCATTACCTTTGAATCACAGATATCTTTGAATTTACCGAAATGTTTGCAAAATCAGGGATGATCGACTGGGAAACAAAATTGCCAAACGCCATTGATTTTCCCATTTTCTTGTCTACAGAGTTTAAGTTCAGTAAATAGAGCATGTAGTTGTTGACAGCACACATGACACACACCCACACAGCTTAAAAAAAAGGAAAAAAAATAACTTACCAAAATGCGATTGTTCCAGGTGCTTTTAAGATGCATATGCATTGGTGATTTTTCTGAGCGGATGTTTAAGCCCATTTCAATTAATTCGAATTTCTTGTCAGCAGAATCATTGCCTCCATTATCAGAATTATAATCCAACTCTCCCCTCTGTCTACAGAGCCATTACTGCCACTTCCATAATGACCCCTCCCAAATGGACCACTAGAATCAATTGACTTTTTTCTGTTAAAACTATAAATGAATAAAGGCTGATAGTTTCGAAAGAAACTGTTTGGGGCTTCGTCGGTGGGAGTAACGAAATAATTTGGATATATCAGCAAAGTTGAAATGGTAAATTGGCCACCGTAACGATTACAAAAGCTGACGTTTCGAGCGTTAGCCCTTCGTCGAAGCGAAGGTATCTTTCGCTCCGACGAAGGGCTAACGCTCGATACGTCAGCTTTTGTAATCGTTATGGTGGCCAATTTACCATTTCAACTTTGTTCCTATATCCAAATTATTCTGTTAAAACTAGTTGATGAATGCTGGTAAGAAATTTCAAGTTCACTACTCCTAGAGCTACAATTTAATTCATCATAGTCATTGTTAGTTCTTGTCTACTGTGAAGCTGACAGTTTCTTTCTTCTTTGCTGACCAACACTTCCTGATTTCAATCCTGTGCTTGAACTAGACTGCACGATCATTGATTCATGACCAGGAGGAGGTGGCGAAAGGGGTCGCCTGCTCCGAGGAGATGCAGAAACAGCTCCAATACTACTAGCTGACCCTGAATACAATTTGCTGCTGCGTTCATGCCTCAGATATCGGAGATCAGGATCTGAGGCGCTTAAGTGAAGTCTGTTTGTCTGTACTGACAGATGCTGCGTCGTGACTGGAACTACGTAATATTATTTTTCACTCACACGTCCCATAGAGGTTTCAGATTTAAGGTTACCTCCCACTTGGGGTGCTGAATCCACTCTTAAAACTAGAGAGTACTGAGAATGGAAGATGATTGGAGAGCTAACTTCAATGCTGAATTGTTTTCACAGGGTGGAATGGCTGGTTGAATGTGTTGGTTTTTGGTCTTCAGATCTCCTCCAAGAAATTCTGCAACATCATGAATCTAGAAGAAAAATAATCGTGAATGTATTAAAGAATAATCATTTAGTTTTTTTAAAAAAGCTTGTTTTGATTCTGACCAACAACTACAAGGATTCTTCTATCACTTATTTAAAATACTCCACTATCACTCGCAATTATTCAAAAGCATTTTTTTTACTTTCTCTTTGGATTTACAATCATCTTGACAGATAAATTAGATTTAAAAGAAATTACAAAGCTGGATTTTGCATAGGAAATACAGAGTGTTTCACAGGTTACTAAGATCTAGGAAATGCCAAAAGAAAATCAGTGTTAAGCACTTAAGTTGGACTATTCAAGTGCTGGATACCAGAACGTTTTATGGATTGTTAAGTCTCTGTAAGAATCAAACACCTTGGGAAATGAAAATTCTCAACCCCTCTTCAAACCTTACACACAGTTAGGCACTCAGGGGACTGCACAAAAGTGCTCTTTTTAAAGATTGCAGCACTCTTGTTACCACAGTGACAACGGCTGCTTGTTTCAGGCCTGGGGCCTCATTTCCATGCAAAAACATTTAAAAAAGAGTAAAGTGTTGATTTCTGTATCTCAAGCTCAATACAACATTACAAATTGGTACTTCTACCATATATAACGACATAATTTATCTTCACTTTGATACATTCAATTTTCCCAGAGAATGAATGTGAACACACCAATAGATTATTCATCTCGGTACAGTTTCGGTCATTTTTTATTTGAATTTCTCCAAAAGTACACCGATTCTGAAGCTGAAACTACCCACCTAGTTGATCATAAAATTATTCTAGTTTTTAAATATGTAAAAATCTCTGCGGGCCAGCCTCTACTTTTCCTTTCCAAAGGGGAAGTTTGCGAACGAAGCTCAAAAATCAGATATTGCATAGTTTGGCGATGTTCGCATCTGATGTTAAGTTCTCAACAACAAACGTCTCAGACAAATGAAGCGTGCAAGGCTTGGAAAGAATGTTATCTTATGAGCAATATCCCGAAGAGAAATCTCACCTCTGGTTGTCATCTTTTAAAAGAAATTGAACAGCCTTTCTGTAGGGCTGCCTGACGTAACTACAAACATATCGGTTGAAATCGTGTGCATACCATCCAGATTCCGAGTGAATAGTGTAGGGCGCCATAGGTTTCAATCTCGTCAATGTATCTTGTCACTTGTCTGCGTATTTCACAAAGATCTTGCGTGGTAGCTTTTTCTTTTAAAATGGCAAATAATTCGTCTAGGACGGCTCCGGCCCACTGGTGATTCTGTTCAATATCTTCGTCCAAACAGTTGTTTTTCAGATGACATGGTGTTTAAAATGAATGTAGAAATGTAAGATGGTGTTTTACATAAATGTGTTTGAACGTAAATGTCGCTCTGATTGACAAGCTGTCATCATGTCTATGTACAATTGATGGAAAGTAGATTGTTCTCCCACGTTGGAATCATAGGTTTATGGCAACTTCCGCGCGGTCTGGGTCCAAGTGATTCGGCCGATCGGGTTCTAATTAAATATTCATACGGCGTAGGTGCGCGAGGGGGGTTTTAGGGTTTATTCATGCGGCTTAGGAGCACGAGGGGATTAGGGTTGTTGGGGTTAGGGTTGCTGGGGTTAGTGTTGTTGGGGAGGTTAGGGTTATATTTCACTTAAGTTCATGGGTAGGGTTTTTTCGCATCTCATTTTAAAAAATAACGGTTTTCTCAAAACAATGGGAAAGAATCCAAGATGGCGGAGGGGTTAACTCCAACACACTGTTTTCGCATACGTAATGTTTATTTTGACACAACAGAGGGAAAAGAGAATGGACCCTATATTACGCGTTTGGGTATCGCAGGTTAGACATACTAATCTCTCCGATTAAGACTGTGAGCACAAATTGTATTTATAAGACTCCCAAAAGGTTTCCACTCGCATGTGGGACAGGTTATTCAGGACGTATGACTTTTACGTTTAAGAAATGTAAGAGATGTACGATCGTAAGACACAGGGATTGACAAGCTTTCAAAGTGCTCGGGTAGGCCTTGTCGCAATAAACTCTTGGTCAGTATTATAATGCCTGACTTTTACGATTTCTCTTCTGATTGTGGTCAATGCGAATGGTGTGTACTAAAAGAAGAAGAAATAGAGAGAGAAGCGTTTTTGCAGGACAATTGAAAAATAATAAGAGCACTCTAGAAACGAAAGTGGATAGACGAAATATGAGTGTTCATTATGATTCATACAGAGTATCACGCAACTACCCATACCGGTTCTAGGACAATAGAGTATCTACACTTGAAAATTAGAAGGAAATGTATAAGAGATGTAGGAAGAAAATACAAATTAAAAGCGTTGAATAAATCCTGGTTTAGGGTTAAATTGCATAAGTTATAGGAGCGTGTTTTTTCATAATTTGAAAAAATAAAAGTCATCTAAGATGGTGTAAAAACAATAAAAATAATGAAACCTAAGATGCTGTTTAATCTTCCCTTAGGGAAAATGATTTGAAGATAAAATGAATATTCAAAATAACGTTCATTTTAGAATAAAAGGAAAAAAAGTTGTCGTGACCAGGATTCAAACCTGGGTTATTGCGGTCACTCACACAAGCACACCCCTAACTCTCAACCTAAGCCCAGTTCCTTAACCCACTTATTCCCATAACAAAATCAAAATAAAAACCCTAACAGTCAAACATCAGAGTGAGACAAACAATGGAAACAATAAAACGCAAGATGGTGACTCATACTTCCAATGGTAAAAGTGATTTCAAGATGTCATTAGCATTCGTATCGTGTTATAAAAAACCGAGAATAAAAGAGGTTTCTTTCCGCCTAAACCCTATGATGGGATGTAAATAACTCATCCCACTCCAATAAAATGAAAATAGTTCGGATAGTGATCATATGAGTATTTAAAATTCTCTGAAAATCAACAATGGTCCGTTCGAAGTATAAACATGCGATAGCTTTTTCTCAATAAAAATGTTTACTTTTGTTCGAATCTTAATTGAAAATAAACTGTAATGCGTGAGTGTGATCACTAGCAGTGACGAAAGTGTTTTAAAATCTATACAAAATTCCGCAAGTGAGGAAAATAACAATGATACATCGACGCAATTCAATGACAATGAATCGAAGAGAAATAATTAAATCTCCCGTTTAAAAAATTATCAGAAAAAAAAATTGAACTTTTTAGGGTATTCAAAAACCCAGCAACATGCTCATGAACATTCCCATTTCTCGGGAAAAATGAACCACAGAGCATACAAACCGGGGTAAAATACCAAATGCCAGCAGGCATTGTAACTGTCTCATGATTATCTGTTCATCAAATTTTAATCAACTCATAGTATCCTTACATTTTTTTCGGATCAAAGTCAATGACCTGTCTGTCGAAATTGTTTCCGAGTTATGACCTGTGTCAATCAATGATAGACCAATGGAGATCTAGCGATGGGTGTATAAGAGTGGCTATGAGTCGGAATGGTATGATCATAGGTGGGACCAAAGAGATGATGAAGAAAGTTCGATTTCATCCAATCAGACAAGTAGTGTATCTCACTGAAATTATACAATGACACAGTTCCTGGATACTTCGTTTAAACACAAAATAAAAGCGGTAAAAGAGAAGCAACATAGCAAGTACCTATATACAAGCACGTTTTACACAAAACCTCGACATCTATATGTGAGACAGCGATTGCAAGAATTACAAGGAGCATAATCCAAAGACGACTTATTTAGCTCATGGGATATGGACTTGCTTTACATGTAACGAAACATGACTAAAACGTGGGAACATTGCGACGGTCGCTACGCGACCGCATTCCGGACGCGCGCGTAGGAGCAGGAAAGAGGAAGAGAAGGAAAGAGTATACATAGAATTACCACTGTAATAAACTGTTTTAAACTGTCACATTTTTTAGTGATAATGTCTTACCGCGAGTGTATAAGAGTCCCACGAACTGAGTAAAGTTGAGGAATAAAATGACTAGAACGAGTGACTCCATGTGAAGAATAAATTATATTACTTGAAGAAAGAGGAGGAGAAGGAAGTGGAAGTAGATGAGGAATGAGGAGGAATGAGGAGGAGGAGGAATGAGGAGGAGGAAGAGGTGGAATGAGGAGGAGGAAGAGGTGGAATGAGGGGGAGGAGAAATGAAGAGGAGGAATGAGGAGGAGGAATGAGGAGGAGGTATTAGGAGGAGGAAGGAGGAGTAGGAGGAAGAGGAAGAAAGAGAAGGAATGAGAAGGGCGAAGGAGGGGAAGGAGGAGGAGGAGGAAAGAGGAGGAAAGAGGAGGAGGAAAGAGGAGGAGGAAAGAGGAGAAAGAGGAATGAGGAGGAGGAGGATAGAGGAGGAGGAGGAAAGAGGAGGAGGAAAGAGGAGGAGGAAAGAGGAGGAGAAGGAGTAGAAAATATACGATCCCACATCAACGAGATGGACAGTTCCGTTTGGTATATAAGAAAATTAAAAATTTGGTTCTATATGAGCGTGCACTTTGAATTATTATAATTAATATTTCAAAGTGCGCGTTCTTTTAAAGTTTGTTAGACATAAAGGAGAAAGATGTATACATCATGATAAGACTCGAAGTGTCTACCTCCACACTCATTTCTTACCTGCTCAGGCAGAGTGCGGACGGTGGCGAGTACTCAGGATCTTTCCCCGGTTCTAAAGTCGTATCGACAAAAAATGCATGCCGTTCATGCTCGTGTAAAGTATCAGGAAAATGTGTTGAGGGAATATAAAAAACATGCCGAGAATGGAACGTTCCCCAAAAGATTGAAATAAATGAAAAGTTACCCTAAGATGCGAAGTCCTGAAGCTCAGAAACGTGTCAATGAAGCATACCATCAAGTAGAATGTACGGTCTTACATCAAGCGGTTCAAGAGATTGAAAAGAATCTTGCCACATACAAAGAACAATATCAATCCTTGCCACAACAGCGACAAAGTGAGCGACAAGTACTGGAAGGCAGGAAAGAAAAGACACCCAAGAAATCTCACCACACAAGGGTGAAAACTGAATTAATTGAAATACAGAGAAAATAAGATCATCTCTGTGCCAAGTTATACACATTCACAAACTATAACGAGAACAAAGATATCTTATACACTGGTGAAGAGGGTGTTAATGGTGTATGAGGCGGTGATAGGTTAGGGAAAGTGGTGAGACAATAATACATAAAAAGCAGAGAACCTTACATTTTTTCATTAGTATCGCTGTGACACGAAATGAGAGTCGTCATACCTTGATAAACTTCTGATAGGATAATGCCGCACCTTTGCCGCTACTGAAATAGAGCATTCACGCGTTCGGATAACAAAGAGCGTCACGAGAAGAATTCATGCGTGAACTCAAGGGTCAATCCAAATCAATGGTTCCCTTCAACTGTGGATTACCATTCCATTCCACCCGTGACTACAGACCCGACTCAGTCGCTCGATCTATCATAAAGGTGGTGTGAGGGTTTCAAATTCACCCAGTAGCATATTCATCGTGGGTCCTTCGGGATGCGGTAAAACTTGCTTTACCAAGTCATTACTGCTACAACATTTGGATGAATTGTTTACCTCACCCCCTGCCGTCATTCACTACTGTTACGGTGCTTGGCAAGATGGACTCATTGAGATGCATCAACATCGTAGAAAATTTCACAATAACCTACCCAATGAAGAACATTAAAGCAATGGTTCCCTAAAGATGGCGGAATACTGGTCATGGATGATCTTATGACCGAAGGAGGAGACAATAAAGAAGTGTTACACCTTTTCACCAAACATTCTCATCATCGTAACATTACTGTTATCTATCTTTGTCAAGATTTGTTTCCAGCTGGCAAATATGCAAACAGTATTTCAAGAAATGCTCATTACGTGGTTGCTTTCAAAAACCCACGCGATCAATTGGGTTTCAAAAATTTATTGTTACAAGCCATGGAATGGCAAGATATTATGCAAGTGTATTGTGAGGCAACTCAACGACCCTACGGGTATATCACCCTTGATATACATCCTGCTAGTAAGGATGCTCACCGAGTACTCAGTCATCTTTTGACACATGAAGGATGTATCCGACTGTATCCTAGAAAAGTGAAAGTTTAAAACAGCCCTATACATTGGTCAGAAATCATTTAGGAACAACCACCAGCAAGTACATTTCAAGGAAACTTATAGTGCGTGTGTGTGACCATGACTGATAATTCTCAGGATCTAGATGTCTTTGGCGAACCAATAGAAGAAGATGAAGAGCCTGAGAACACAGATGATGAGGACAATGATGATGAAGGTGAAGATGAAGACAACGATGACGGTGACAATGATGATGATGACAATGGCAGTGTGAATCCGTGGTCAGAGTTGAAACAGGAAGTGAAAGATGATATGAAAACGACTTTGGCTGAACAAGAAGAAGAGCAGGAGAAAGAGGGGACATCCGAGAATGACAATTCGCTTATACCTTTAGCTAGGCTTAAGTTGAGGTTATACTTGCATCATCTAAAGTGGTATAACCGTATTAAACAGGATAAAATAGATAGGTAAGTCATGCATACCGCTCGACGATTGATGAATGAAGACGGTATGGATTGGGAGGAGGCATTAGAGGCTGCCGTGGACAGGAGAAAATTCCTATTGAATCGTCTGATCAACAAACCGTTATTGGATGAAAGCGATGATGATGATGATGATGAAAAAGTGGAGGAAATGAACACTGTGTAACCACTGTAGTAGGGGCATAGTATGCGTGTATGTTTACGCGAAAAAAAGACAAAATAAAGTCATGTTGTAAACAAATCTTTTGTCGAATTTTATTTATGACCATACTAAGTTTAGAAATGTACATCATCTGCAAGTCCGTTATTGGAAACTTCTATCACATCAAACTCTCTGGGTGTTACCTGCGACACCTCTGTGTTCGATTCTACCAGTATGTTCAATGGACCTGTCGTCGCAGATATGTGGTCTACAGCCATTTCTGCTAGTAAAGGAAGGTGCTGGAATTTTATCCTTTAGCTTATAAGGACGAGATCTCTTTGCTCATTCCTCCTCCTCATTCCTCCTCCTCCTACTCTTTCCTCCTCCTCTTCATTCCTCCTCCTCATTCCTCCTCCTCCTCATTCCTCTTTCCTCCTCTTTCATCCTCCTCCTCATTCCTCCTCCTCATTCCTCCTCCTCATTCCTCCTTCTCCTAATACCTCCTCCTCATTCCTCCTCCTCCTCCTCCTCCTCATTTCTCCTCTTCTTCCTCTACCTCCTCCTCCTCTTTCTTCAAGTAGCATAATTTATTCTTCACATGGAGACACTCGTTCTAGTAATTTTATTCCTCAACTGTACTCAGTTCGTGGGACTCTTATACACTCGCGGTAAGACATTACCACTAACAAATGTGACAGTTTAAACAAGTTTATTACAGTGGTAATTCTATGTACACTGTTTCCTTCTCCTCCTCTTTCCTGCTCCTGCGCGCGCGTCCGGAATGCGGTCGCGTAGCGACCGTGGCAATGTTTTCACGTTTTAGTCATGTTTCGTCACATGTAAAGCAAGTCCATATCCTATGAGCGAAATAAGTCGTCTTTGGATTGTGCTCCTTGTAATTCTTCCAATCGCTGTATCACATATAGATGTCGAGGTTTTCTGTAAAGTGTGCTTGTATATAGGTACTTGCTATGTTGCCTCTCTTTTACCGCTTTTCTTTTGTGTTTAAACGAAGTATCCAGGAACGCTTTGATTGTATTTATCTTCTCTTCAACTGTTACTTTCATAGCATAATAGTTCGTTTGTTTATATTTAGCCGTGATTCCTGTCTTGTTCTCGTTGATTATCTACTTCTTGCGCAACTGTACATACTTGCGTGTCAGGTTTAGCGATCGGATTTCATTATGTAAGGGACGTCGTTCCTTGAGAGGTTTATTGTTGCAACGCTACTTGTTCGCTAAACGCTACTCTCCTTTTCACCGCCACATATCAGCTACCTATTACCGCTAGGAGCCAGACTAAAGTAAGCCACTATATTTACTTGACCGTTATAGTTAGCTTCATTATCTTAATTGGCATGATCATCTTTAGCGCTTGTGTAGTTTCGCGATTCTATGCCGCGTGCGTCTAGGTTAAGTAGTCCATCCACAGGCGTCGGCTTATTTAGCTTCCTTTCTTTGCTTCCTGGTTCGAACCACAACAAATCTCACTGCAACAAGACCTTACCGCTACGCAAAGCTACATATCGAATCATCGATCTATCATTCTACAAGCCGCTGCCCTTTTACGCTATTTCAATTAAAGTTTACGTTGTGCGTCACAGTTGTCTGGTCTCCAAACTCGTCGCTTATGACCCTCGCTACACATGTGACCTTTTGGGGCTACATTTTCGTTCGAATTGAAGGCTTCGAATTTGTCGATTCATAGCGAATTCGCGATCTATGCTTGTCGTCGTTGTGATGTAACAAACTGGTCACGTTGCGACGTGCGTGCTGCGTTCACAACAATAAATTATGGCCGAGGGTGGCTACGATTTGATCGAGCCGAGCTCTAGGTTATGGCGAAGAAATCTCACTCTCGATTGGGAAGGCATCGATGCAGAAAGTCTGCGTCACCTGAGGCAAGCAAGAAGCCGTAAAAAGGGGATCGTTACCAGCGCACAAGAAGAGATAAAACAATTAATGATCGATTGGTCAGATGCGCTATTAGTCAAGGAGAAACTTGATCACCTTCACAGAGCATTTCAAGATTTCGTGAGAGCTCACGCTGGGTACCATAATCAATTGAAAGAAGAAAGCGACATCGACGAGTCAAACGAATATTTTAAGTCAGTGGAACAAGCTAACAGCCGGCTTGTGTGCGAGATTTCACGCTGGGTCGTTGCCTCTAATCGTACGAGATCCAAGACCCCCCTTGAAGAGAAAATAGATGAAAATGATGATGTTACGCTCGCAGATTCGATAAGTAACGCCGGCTCGTGGATGTCCCGTCGTTCTGGGTGCAGCTCCGTTCGTTCTAAAGGATCAGCTGCGAGTTCTGTTCAATCGGCTCGAGTAAAGGCTGCTGTAAAGAAAGCGATGTTGCAAGTGGAGGCTAAGGAATTGGAAAATTGGCAGGCCTTAAAGATGAACGAGCTCGCCCTGGAAATGAAAAAGAAAAGCTTAGAGCTGCAAACGGAGATAGCTAAAGCCACAGCTGAAGAACTCGCCTATGGTAAAGTCCAATGTGATACTGGAGAGCCATTGATGGCGCACTACGGCGACCAGAAACCTGGTGCAAAAGCCCCGCTTGAATCTGCTACAGATGCTTCAAAAATCATCGATGCCCGAAGAAAGGAATTTTGAGTTCGAGCGACCGCAGAAGGACATATTGCAGACCAAAAGGGAGTGACTGACGCTAGCAAAATTTTGAGATTAGAGGTGAATGCCGTCGCCTCACCCAACTACAATCCAGCTGCTATCAAACACTCCCCGATCTCACCAGCCATGGTTAAACCAGAGCCTAACGAGCCCGCCCAGAGCACTGCCTTTAGTGAAGTAGTAGTGCAGCGTCTGCTGGACGCCCAGTACTTCCAGAACCAACAACTTCAGGCACTGATTCAGCGACAACAAGACAAAACGCTGGCGTTAATCCTACCCCAGCCAAACGTCCCTATACTCAGTGGAAACCCCGTCGAATACTGGACGTTTATCCGCGCGTTAGAAAACTTGATCGACAAGAAAACTGCTAGTGAGAGTGCTCGACTCTACTATTTGGTACAGTACACATCCGGCGAAGTTCAAAAGCTGGTTGAGAGCTGCCTGTCGATGGGATAGGACTCTGGCTATCGAACAGCCCGCAAGCTCTTGTATAAAACATATGGGTCAAGCTACAAGATAGCGAGTGCATGGGTGAGGAAGCTAACCATCGGACCGGCGATTAAGGCCAAGGACGGTGAAGCACTGCGAGGGTTTGCTATTGCACTGGCCAGTTGCAAGAACTCTCTAACCGAAATCGGTTACCTGAACAAGCTGGAAAATCCGAATACATTCAAAACCATCGTCCAAAGGCTACCGTTTGGGCTGAGTCAGAAATGGCACGACATAGCCAATAACATAACAGAAACCCAGGATCGTGAGATCACCATCGCAGACCTAAGCGACTTCGTCAGCGCTAGAGCCAGAGCGACCAGTCACGCCATATTCGGCGACATATCCAGTCAAGCACCACAGCCTCACGGAGGGCCTGGAGTAAGACGCAGATCACAACCCCTCATGAGATCCTCTTTCGCCAGAAACATGAGCACAAGCCATAACGGAAACGTCTACGAGGAACGAAATAGCCAAGTACACCGCAAGTGTCTTTCGTGCAAGTCTGACCACTGGCTATTACAGTGTAGTAACTTTAAGGAGACGTCTCTAGCTGCTAGGTGGCAATTAGTCACCTCTAGAGGCTTGTGCGCTAACTGCCTAGTCGCTGGCCATTCAGCCAACTCTTACCCCAAGAGAGAGTTTTGGCGTGTAACAGGGTGTAACGGGAAGCATTCTAGCTACCTTCATCCTAAAAGCCAACTTTCAGTTCCTGTTGGTTGCATCAGCAGCTCGTCAATCACTGAACCTCGAGCCCAAACACGCAATCAAGAAAATGGACAACCCGCCTTTAATGGCCACGTTAAAGGAAGAAACGACGATCGCTCATCCGCCACAAGTTTGGCAATAGTTCCAGTCAAAGTGAAAGCACCAGACAGTGACCTTATAGTAGAAACATACGCTTTCCTAGACAATGGGTCCAACGTTTCATTTTGCTCAGAGGATCTAACTAACCAACTTGGTCTTTCGGGACGCCCAACGTCGTTACAGCTAACTACTATGGATAGAGAAGAGAGTAGAATTGCTGCACAAATCTTTAGCCTACAAGTCACAGATCTTGAGGAGGAAAATTTAGTCGAACTGCCGTGTATGTTTACAAGAACAAAGCTGCCAGTATCACTAAAGAACGGAGCCCATCAAGAGGAAATCGATCGATGGCCTCACCTCAGTAGAGTAAGGATCCCTAAGATCGACTCCAACGTCAGGCGGCTGATTGGAAGCGATGTTCCTGAAGTGCTTGAGCCAAAAGAAGTACGACGCAGCAATGGCGGGCCGTACGCATCGAGGACCATGCTTGGTTGGGTGGTTAACGGGCCACTTGGAAGAGCCCAAGCTTCCACCCCTGCTAACGCTAATTTCATCCGAGGCGATGCTGAACTCACTGAACAGTTCCGAAGCTATTGCAACATGGAATTCAACGATTCCGTATACAGCAACAACTCTTCCATGTCGTCAAACAACAAGCGAGCTTTAGAGATCATGTCAAAGACAGCATTCCTGAGAGAAGGGCCCAACGAGATCGCTTTGCCATGGAAGGAAGAAACCCCATACCTAGAAAACAACAAGATAGTCACCGAGCATCGACTAAGATCCTTAAAGAAACGCCTTCTGTTAAACCCAGATCTATTGGTCAAGTACAAGGAATGCATTGAAGATCTGCTGAAGAAGGGATATGCTATATCAACACCGGCAACGCCCACCTCAAGAAAGACATGGTACCTTCCTCATCATGGAGTCGTCCACCCTGCAAAGCCTGGAAAAGTCCGCATGGTCTTCGACTGCTCCGCAAAGTACTGGGGACGGTCTCTCAATGATCAGCTGCTACAGGGGCCAGACCTCACAAACACCCTCGTCGGAGTCTTAACCCGCTTTCGACAAGAACCCATCGCTATCATGTCGGACAACGAAGCGATGTTCCACCTAGTACGAGTAAGGCCAGATGACAGCGAAGCATTGCGGTTCCTCTGGTGGCCGCATGGGGATCTTACGTTGCAGCCTCAAGAATACAAGATGAAAGTACACCTATTTGGAGGAGTGTCCTCGCCAAGCTGCGCTAATTTCGCACCCCAGAAAACGGCGGATGATATTCAAAAGGAATTTTCACCAGAGACGATCGACACTGTGAAGCGTAATTTTTACGTGGATGACTGTCTGAAACCAGTCGGATCCAAGTAAGGCACTATTTCCCTTGCGAAAGACCTGACAAGTCTCCTGAAAAGAGGTGGCTTTCGTCTAACAAAATGGCTTTCTAACTCCCGCAAGGTGATCGGATCAATGCCGGAGTCAGAGCGAGCAAAATTAGTTAAAGATCTGGACTTCGATCAGTCCCTCATTAAAGGAGCGCTGAGCGTCAAATGGCATGTGACATCAGATACCTTTTGTTTCAGCATTCTCGTTAAAGACAGACCCCCCTACCAGAAGAAGGATTCTCTTCGTGGTTAGCTCTGTCTATGACCCGCTTGGATTCGTGGCATCCTTTGTCCTTCAGGTCAAGATCTTACTGCAAGACCGTTGCCGGAGAAACTTTGATTGGGACGACCGGATTCCTGAAAAGGACTTGCAGCGATGAACGAGCTGGCTGAAGGAGCTACCGAAACTAGAGCAATTCTCAGTCGAAAGGTGCTTCAAGCCATCAGACTTCGTCGACATTGTCTCCTGCCAGTTACATCATTTCTCTGACGTCTCACAGGTCGCATATGGCTCTGTTTCCTACTTGAGACTCGTAGACTCTCAATGCCAGATCCGATGCTCCTTTCATATGGGAAAATCTCGCCTCGCGCCTTTGAAGCCGCTCACAATTCCAAGGATGGAGCTATCCGCTGCTCTGCTTTCGACAAGAGTCGACAAGATGATGCGACAAGAGCTCGATGTCACCATCCACGACTCTTTCTTCTGGACTGATAGTACCTGATGTAGTGTTTGTAAGGTACACTTCGTGTGCCATACATAGTCTAGGTAAGCAGGTAATATAAGAGAGGATTGAATCATTAAGGCAGCATGGCAGATGTATAGATTAGATTCGTGTGTATCCATTTCCATCGACTTTAGAACGTGAGATCTTGCGACGAGGATAGAAGTTGCAGCGGCCCAGACATGGCGTCAATAAAGATAGGCGATTTAACGAGTGTGAAACCATTCGATCCACATGGTGAACCTTCAAGCGTGGGAAGGCGATGGCAGCGTTGGTTGAAAAGCTTCTCAGTTTATGCCGATAGCAAAGGCTTGCTCATCCAAGTGGATAAAGCGGATAATAAAACTCAGAGGAGAGCTTTATTCCTTCATTCGGCCAGCGAAGCTGTTCAGGAAGTTTTCGAAACATTACATGACACAGGCGAGGCGAAAGATTACGAAAAAGCGGTGCAGGCTTTGAGCGATTATTTCACTCCAAAGGTAAATTCGACATACCAAAATCACCTGTTTCGCAGCATGGAACAAGAGGACGGCGAAACCGTGGCTCAGTTTGTTACACGATTGAGACACGTGGTCAAAGAATGTGAGTACGGCGACCAAGCTGATAACCAGATTCGTGGTCAAGTCTTGCAGCGATGTAAATCACATGAACTACGGAAGAAACTACTGGAAAAAGGTGAGCACTTAACCTTAGAGTTGTTACTTTCGACGGCAGCAAATCACGAGTGAGTTAGGTCACAGCTGGAAAATATGGAAGGCAAAAAGGACGTGAATTTCGTCCGTGACAAGCAAGTAGACAAAGGAAAGGAGTTTGCCAAGCGAGCATGCTACAGATGTGGAGAAGTAGGACATTTTGGAAGAGACCCTGAGTGTCCCGCGAAAGGAAAAACTTGCCATAAGTGCGGTGGAGCTGACCACTTTAGTCCACAGTGTAAAACGAAAACAGCCAAACCTCCCAAACCTAGGCGGGAAGAGAAGACAAAAGGAAGGAAAACAAAGAAGTCAGTCAGGTATGTGAGAAGTGAGAGAGATGAAGATGAATATGCTTTTACTGTGAATTCTGCTACATCACCTGAGAAAATAGAAGTGACTGTGGATGGAGTTGTAGTTACGATGTTGATTGATTCGGGTGCAAGCACCAATGTGATTGACAAAAATCTGTGGTTAAAGTCAAAGCAAGACAAGATTAAGTGTGTGTCGAGAAAGAGTGATAAGAAGCTTTATGCATATGGCAGTAATCAGCCGCTGAACGTTCTTGGAACATTCTCAGCACAAGCGAGAGTAGAGGGAAAAGAGGCCGAAGCTGAATTTGTTGTTATTAATGGCGAAGGGGCGGCACTGCTTGGAAGAGAAACTGCCATAAAGCTTGGAGTGTTGAAATTAGGAACCTAGATCTGCACTGTGACATGTAGTGAGACAATCATGTCAGATTACAAGGAGATCTTTGAGGGTGTGGGAAAGTTGAAAGATTTCCAAGTTAAGTTGTATGTGAATCCAGATGTACCCCCAGTGGCGCAACCAGTCAGGCGCACCCCATTTAGTCTTCGAGACAAGGTTAAGGAGAAGATTGAAGAATTAATAGCCATGGACATAATTGAACCAGTAGAGGGCCCAACCCCGTGGGTTAGTCCAGTTGTAGTAGTCCCAAAGCAGAATGACGAAATACGCCTTTGTGTAGACATGCGCAGAGCTAACGAAGCCATTATCAGAGAGCGTTATC